CTGGTCTTTGACAGCTCCTGTTGCCAAATATACATTGCTTTTATGGTCACTGAAAACAAGATGATCATTCTAGAGAGAATGTCATCATTCTCTTCCATAAATTGTTACTTTCCTACAAGGGGGCTGAATTTATCCTCTGACACTGAGACTAAAATTAGGAACTGAGAATATCAAGCCTGATGACCTGTAAAAAAAGAGCTGGGAAGAGTCTGTTCCTTTGTATTAGACATTATGTCATCAAAACAACGCAGATCTAATGCTGATGAAGCATACAAGTGGTTTTGTTTTGTGCAAAACAATGAAGTATGCTTAGGTTGCCATTTCAAAATTACTCACTGAATTATTTAATTAAACAAGAAAATGAACCAGAGTTAACTGGATTTATTTGTAAAGGAAGGTAAAAAGTCCTGACATCTTATTGGCAGGAGAAAGCAGCAGCACAGCTTACTACTATAAACTCCAATTACCTAAACCCCACAAACCTCTGGTACAGGATTTTAATGTTTTAAGAAGTCACTCTGATTTCCAGTAGCTACTCTAGGTATAATGATAGCTACTGGTGTTGGTGCATACCTTCCAATTCTTTTACTCCGATAAATAAGGAGTGATGGCTGATCTTTGCTTCATGTTTATCAGAAATGCCTGAAATTCAAAACTTATTTAATGTACCATAAATATTTCTTCCCGCTTTCAAGAGAAACAAAGCTAGATTTTATTTGAAATTCAGAATTCTTGAGATTATTTTACCTTGTCAGAAATAGAGAACAGGCTAACATCTGTGACAATTCTATGGGAAACACAGCAACTTGATGGAAAAATGATTGAAAGATTTACTGCCTGTTTTCTGCAGAAATAATTCTTACAGCACATACTTAAGAAATATTTTTTTTAAAAAAAAGCAAATAGAGCAAATCTGCCCTTGGTTATTATGCAGGCAATAGAACATCTGACTTTGTTCCAGTAGATGCTGCTATCCAAAGATTTAACATAACCATACATTACATACAGTCCTGTCCAACTTATCTCACAGGCCTAAAGAATCTGGTCCTCTTTAAAAACAAAAACAAACAAACAAAAAAACCACAACAAAAACAAACCCCAAACAATAATCATGGGCTCTACCCAGAAGTTAGGCAAAGCAGGACAGAAAAAACATTTTTATTGGTTTTCACTTAACATACAATTACTGTCATCAGTACAGTGGAAATGACTCTTCAAAAGTGATTTATATTTTGGGGAAAAAATGTTGCCTGAAGGACACTTAGAAGATGAAGACAGCCTAAATTATTTGGTTTTAGGGATATACTGAGCAGCAAAAAAGTAACTAAGTCTGGAAATGTCTTAGATGTCTAGAAAGAAGAAATGACAGGAATAAACAATGTTTTAACACTGAGGGCACTGGATGCCAAGAAGAATTGTATCTATTGATCTATGATACTACTTTAATTTTTTATGATTCTCATATTGAAAAAGTTGTGGTATTACAAAATACCACAATATTCTCAGACTCTCTGAAGGTGCTTCTGGACTTTTCTCACTCTGCTTCCTAACAGACTGCTATGTGCAACTGCTAACAAGGGGACCTTAGGAATTCTTCCACTTCTTTTCCCTCCTCTGAAACAGTGGGCACTTCACTGTAGTCCCTTTGCCTGTTCCCATCTTGGGAAGCAGAGGTTCACTGCCTGCCAGACTTTACTTCCTCTCCTCCACCAGAATAACTTCAGGCTACACTTATTCTTCCCAAGCGGTAGGAGGAAAAGTGAGAGGTGACCTTCCTCCAGTTTCATCTTTCCTTGTAAGAGCTCATGCACATTTCATCAATTCATGCAGATTTCATCACTTCCAAGTATGGAAATGGCAATTGCAATGGAAGTAGATGAAGATACAGACAAGGGCTGGCATGGGTCAAATAGGATAATTGTGCACAAGATTAGTATATTGAATGTGATGCCACAGTAGGAGTAGGTATTTCATTTAGAATTAGGATACTACTATGCTATCAGTATCATTAGCAAGATTGTGGTTAACGGAGGGAAAGAGGGCAAGGGGAAAAAAAAAAGTGTTTTTTTTCCTGCATTAAGTTTAAGTGGACAATAAAACATTTCATAGTTGATACAAGGCCAAGATGAGACTTTTTAATATAATATTGTGAATTAGCTACACAGAAAGGCAGCCTGAAGAGGCAAGATTGATGAATGCTATGGTTTAAATTGGGAAGAGCAAAGGCTATTGTCAATGCTTGAAAACCCGCTCAAAGATCAGGCAAAAGAAGAAAAATTATGCAGTTTTTTGAATGAGTCAAAATAAAGATGTCATTTTGTTGGTAAAACATTAAGAAAGACAGGCTGGTAAACCCTCCAAAGCAAAAAGAGCCCAAAAGAACAGAGATTCAACTGTCTTCTGTAATGTTTTCCGGATTTTATTTTAATCTGTCACAAATTACTGCTGATGGAAAAATAGACCCAAATATTATCAGTTGTATTGTAAATGTCTAACCTAGGCAATAATTTTAAGTACAGTATCTATTCTCTCATTATTTTAGATATGCTTTCCAAGATGTGGGCAAAAAGTGCCTTACTATTGCAAACTAAACCTCTACAGTGAAATAGTTATACTGGGAATTTAAAAAAAAAACCATGCAAACAATAAGCCAGAAGCCAACCCAATGGCATATTGGAATCAACATGCAGACAGTCATATGAATATTGACACGTACCAGACCATCAGCATTAATATAGAACACCAGCTGTACTAAACCATCACCATGTAAGCCAGATGACTAATGAAGTTTACTATGCAGTTGAATGGGAGACTTGCAGTAACACTTGGAACAGTGACATTACGCTGTGCCCAAAGGACCTGTGGATCAATACAATGTCATTGGAAGTGCTGGAATTATTATAATGTCAATAGAAGTTCGAGGTGAGGGCATGCAATACACCACTGTTAAAACTGGAACTCCTGGTGTAACAGTGCAAGATCTCTGCAACGTCAGTGGAACATTTCAAAGGCAGTTACTGCATATAGTTCATTTTTCCAAGAGATCTTTAACTTTAAAAGATCACAATGGGCATCAGATATCACAGAATTATTAAAATAGTTTTAATTATTCTAATTTAACAAAATAAATTTGCAGCTACTTCATGATATCCTACTGTTTTAAGTATTGCATCTTGGATATACATGTGTGACCCAAATTCTCATCAGTCCAAAAGAGAGCTGAGAATTAAAATGAGAATGGCAACCACAACTTTTAGTGTCCTTTTGCAAACTGAGAATAGACCAGGAATAGAAGCTTGGTATAGCTCCTTCTTCAGAATATACATCAAAGGACAATCAATAACCTGAATCACATTCATTTATTCCTCAGCACAATGCTTTGTTTTGATATAGATCAGTACATTGTAATTCCATGCAAATTCTGAATGGACTTCATTCTGTGTAACTACGCATTAGGAAAAAAACATGCTGGATACTGAATACCAAACATTTACTAGAAAATGCTAGGCTAGGAGGAAAAAGCTAATAAAAACTGTAAAATATAATTAAAATATTCTAGCATGTACCTCTTTTAGTGCTAAATAAAAGATAAGAATAAAGAAAATGTGGCAATTAACTTGCGATGTTTACTTCTAAAGTGTAATTAAATGATCAGTATGTACAGTTTGGATGCCTCAGCTCCCACTCATTGCATCCCTCTGAAAAGACAACACAGAAAATTATCCCAGACACCAGTACAGAAACAATGAAGTCACATTTTTAAAAATGTTGAACTTTTAACTACAGAGTAATGTGTCCTTAACCTGGGAAGCTGGAGAGGTCTGCTCCAAGATAAAAGGTGACAGAAATATGGTGATATTGGTGAAGAATGTGGGGGTTCAAATATTTTGTCAGAAAATAACAACACTTCTTCAAACAGACATGTTGTTGAATTTCACTATCTATTCCAAGTATTTAAATTATGGCAGCAAGAACAACTGTGATTGCTTCCTATACAGAAGCAGGACTGAGCACCTCAATTTGATAAGTACTCAAGAGCTGATTCTTTTTCATTCTGCTATGAATCTGTTTTTCACATTGCTCACTTCCCCATGAACCTTAGGGATTTGACAGAGTGTATTTAATCTTCCATTGAAAGAAGCTATTGAGAAAAGTAAGAGAAGCTTTGAATTTATGAGAAATTGGCAGCAGTGAAAAGAAAGGTACAATCTTGAAATATTTCAGAGCTATCATACCTCATTCCCAGGTCCCACCATAAATAAGATAAAGTAGTAACTGTAAACACAATATTGTAAATAAAAGTAAAGGAATAGAGGATTACCATCTACCAAAAGCCCAACTTAGATTAGATATTCATTATTATCCACATATTGTAATTCTCCCTCTATTTTCAGGTGTGTCTTCCAGAATCGATTTCATGCATTATTACACTATTCCAATATCACATTGCCTTGCATATTATTATTTCTTTTCCAAGGTACTGCAATTACAATAAAAGAATGCAGCAATGTAGCCATTATCTACACACTAAAATATGCAGTATCCTTTGCATTCTTTAAACCTGCACGTATAAAACACAACACTGAAGTTCAACTCACAGCTGGTTTATTTATTTCTTTGTTTGTTTGTTTGCTGTAATCTCTGTTAATTAAGATAGATATTAACTAGGTGGCACTGTGCACTCAAAGGACCAAGCATGAGGTTTTCTCCCTCCTTAATGCCTGCATCTCACATTCCTTCAGCTCACATCCATCACGAAAGGACTGCCAGGTGAGCTGACTGTCACTCCAGCCCAGGCTAATAGATTCTCCAGTGGCTTTTATTACAGCTTATGTCATGCTGTTAAAACTCTGCGTCTTGAAAATGGCATAACATATGTAGCTGAGACTTGTCAGCTCCAGGTAATCAGACGCTGCTTGGTTTCAGAAGCAGATGCAGATGAGACTAGCAATATAAATATGCAAATCACAATGGTCCCTTGTCAACACCACTGTTCCTACCTCTAATGGCCCTCGTAGAAAGTCTGTTTGCTCAGCTCCTACTTCCAGTGCTACATCGACAGAAGCAAAGGGGCGGCTGGCCATCTGCTGTCGCTCCCGCATAAGTTGCTGATGAGGAAAAAATGATGTTTTAACAAAACATTAAAAAAATGCACCAGATATTACTCTGCCCTACTATACTTCCCATTAAAACATAAGAATATAAATAACATGCAAATAGTCACATTTGTAATATTAAAGGAAGAACGTTAGACTAAATTATCATCATCTGTACTTACTTGAGAACTGAGCCCAGAGGGCTTATGATGTCTACAAATGGTCTTTCAGCTTGAACTCTGATGAAATCTCTAAATGAAAGCTTCTCTAACTGACTGTTCACTCTAAATAACTTTGCTATTTGTGCAAGCTGTAAGCAAATATGGGAAACAGTTGGTAAAAATAGTTGAACTCTAATTCCACTCATAATGCATACATTAGGGAACCTGCCAAGAACAAGTCCGCTTGGCCTTCAAATTTTCGTACTTCACTACTAAGCCAGATGGAGTTAATAGTGTCAGGACCCAATTTCACACAGAATCTTTTCTGAAGTTACTTATATATGAAGAATAATGTGTCAGGGTTGGGAAGCCAGCATCAATGTCTTTGAATATGAACTGCTATGCTCACAGAGTTTGTATAATCCCTTCCAGTCATACCAGTGTGCACACAAGTCCCAAGCAAAACCACAAAGCTAACTCTTATTTATTCCTCAATCTGTAATTATAATGCTTATTAAACCATGATTAATAAAAATTATGACCAGCACTAGATAATACAGATCTTACTTCACTGGTTCAGTGCAAAATGCTTGCACAAATGTTTTATTAGGAAAGATGTAAGTTTTATTTTTGTAGCATTTTTGTCCCTATTAGAAAACATTAGAAAGTGGTATTTGAATGTAAATGACACTAGCACTGTGACATACTGTTCATAAAAGCCTTTGAAATAATAAAGAGCATGCAAGCAAATATTTGCTGGCATCTTACTAATAAACACTCTTGATTTAAGGTCTGTTACAAAGCAAGAAGCTCATTTAGTAATAATTCTCATGTTTTTTTTCTTGCCTTGCATTTTAAGATTGTCCATAGAAATCCAAAGAAGCACTCATAGCAGTAAAATCAAAACTGCACAGTAGTTTCCTATTACCCAGTACATTCCCAAGGCCTGTTTTTTATAAACATGCAATGTAGTTGTCAGTAAGCCCCTGTGCAAATGGGCTCCCAGTGTATCATACCAAAAGTATAATTGATGTCTGTTGGTGAAACTTCATGGTTTATATCCAGAATAAATAAAAGCTTAGTGTGAATATCTAGATGCTTAAAAAATATGGTTTTAACCCTTATTTTTAAAATGAACCTGATAGTCTCTGTATATTGATTTACATCAGCACTGATTTGCATCATTACAATATATTCGTGATTTTACAGCCAGAAAGAAAAACTATGACCCACAAACAACTTGACAAAGACTACAAAAATTTAAAGCATAAAATACTGAGTCACTACATGCTAAAATTACTATACCCAGCTCCTTTTCTTCCTAAAATAACAAAAATTAAAGAAAACAATGTTATTAGAGCAGTCCTGCCATATGGAACTCATTACAGTATTGTAAGCCTACAGAGCTATTGGCAAATGCTTCCTTCTTAATGGGAAATCAAACATTGTTTTAAACAAACAGAATTGCTTGGGGAAAATATTTAAATGAGCAGAACAACCTATGCTCCAAATGAACAAACAATTACTTCAAATATTTATAAAGGGATATACATTTTATCTACTCTCCACTTTTTAAGGCTAGCAGTTTTCTTCCCCCTCTGCTCCTAGTCTTGCATTCAGTAAAACCTTTTCATTCACAGGGTAGTCGTAATTTTGATATGCTGTCATTTGAGAAGAATACTATGAAGAGTTTTATCTTAATTACGTCTGTAAACAAGAATGAAAACTTTAAAATGTTTGGCTGTTCATGAAGCACTGCTGAATTTGGCAGCTAAACACTTGCACATCAAATAAAAGTGCTCTATTTAAAATACTGCTTCTTTCTGTTCAGCATTTTAAAGGTGCCTGTAAGTTGCACAATAGGAAAAATAAGATGAAATGAGGAGAATGAGGATGAGATTATGATGGTTAAAATCAGTTTTGTGGTTGGAATGGGGAAATTCACATAATTCAGCCATAGGCCAAGAAACAGGGAAACTTTCTGAACATGGATATTATGAGAAGAGTAAAAAATCTCTTCCTTACATTTTTGTCAGCAGTCAAAGAGATTTAAAAAAATACACAGATTTCATCATAGCTGAAGCAGAATACACATGGGATAGTGGAAAGTGAAACTATGCTAGTGATACTTATATAAAAAAATCTGCACTTAAAATCACACAAACAAAAATTAATACATGCCTCTTCAGTAATTAGAGATATGTACTTGGAGACAAATAATAAATGGGTATTATTAACACGTAATATTTGAATATTCCATAATACAGTTTACCTATACTAATCAGAATTAAGCACTTTTCTAAAGACTCCCTTCAAACTTTGGGAAATCCAAAATATTAGTTTCTCAGCAAAGGACAGAGAAATTCAATGAGAATTTATCTAACTGAGTAGACATCTGATTCCAAGGTCAACATAACTTTAAATCTCTTTAAGTACAACAATATTGACAAGACTGATTTTTAGGCATGTCTTATTTTGCAGTGATTTCAAAGTATTAATTTACATCCTATTGAAGCGTCTTTCTTGTAAAGTATAGAATTGCATTTGTCCTCAGTGAAGAACAGCAAGATGTTAGGATACTATAAATTAGTTCAATTTCTCACTTAAAAACCAAATAGTTTGAGAGCATTTAATTAAAAAATAACCACTTTGGCTTAATTAGTTCCTTGTCATGGAAAAACACATTTAAACTGATTCTGCATGGACACGTAAACATCTTCACCCATAATTACATTGATTTTTGAGTTTGGTGTGCTAGTCAAGTAAGCACCTTTGAAATAGGACCTTCTTCCCCATCTAGAAGTGTATCACAGAAACGTATTTGTCTGGGTACAAAATTCAATTTTACCATTAATTGCAAAAAAATTCTCATGTGGGGCACTTCTCTGAGTAATGCAGTTTGGAGTGAATTAAAATGTTCCACAGCATCTTGTATAATCTTCTATAAGCAGATGTATTACTTGCAATGTTCTTATTTAAGTAGAAATGTTTTGGGGGTTTTTTATTGGTTTATGACATTTAGATTTACCTTCAAAATATCTTATCACCCATATTTTATTCATGTACAAGAAAACACTCAATGCAAAACATGTGTTATGACGATTTCACATTAACACAACACTGCAGAAATACTAGGCTGACATGTTTCAAATCTTTTGTATTTTAGGAAGTGTTACCATTTGGCTTCACTTTTCCTATTTAGAGGACTATTTTAATTTAAATTTATTTATTTAATTAAAGATTAGGTTTCTCATGTGGAATAAGATAGTTTTTCCAACTAGCACTGCTTTCTCTATGCTCTTCACCTTCCAGCATAACTGTCCTAGAAAAGCTTTAACTGAAAAAAACCCAAATAAAGTACATGAAATGTTAGGAACTAGGACACATGTACTTTCTCTTTGAAAGACAGTAACAGACATTCCTGAAGGACTGATAGGTTAGAAAAGCATGAGACCATTTTAGTGCTATAATAGGATGAACAGGAAAAGTCCTTTCAAAGTTCTTTCTGTTACTGCTGGCACCTTTATGGGCACTTTAGCCCACACTGGCAGGCAAGGTACATGTTAGAGTGTGCCTTAAAGCTTGCACAGGCATGTTTGCAAGTGTGCATGCCCAAGCTCATCAGACAGCTTGACAGCTAGGGTAAGGATAAAAGGTGGCAAACCCCTGGAAAAAAATCTTAGGAAGACTTCTAAGCACCAGACTAAAACATTTTCTTCTTGACTGTTCAGAGCCAGGCACTCTCAGTGCACTATTTCAGCAATAAGGAAGGATATGGCAGTTGAAAGCATGACTATTATTTCAACAACATTAACAACTGCCTAGGCTTCCCTCCTTCACATCTTAGACTTTTTGTTGTTTGCTTGTTTGTTTTTTCCAATATCAGATCCCTACCAACACTGTACCTTCAAAACAAAGAAGAATTGTAATTCCACAATATCTAAGGCCACTGCTGTCAATGTCCTGTACTATTCTCCTAGTGAAAAGATTTCCAAATGTCTAATCTGAAACTCCTGTTCTGCTTATCCATCAGCCAGCTGTGACTTTTCTGCAGTTTCAGCTTGGTCTTCTCTCCTCTTTCTGTGCCATGAACTGCTGATGTGGATAGCACCAAAGGCTACAACATAAGTAGTAACAATGCTAGGCATTAAATCTGAGTTTTATAGGAAAAGTGTTTGCAACGAGGAAAAATGTCATAGCCTCATGGAGAGTTGCATTGAGTAATTTCAGATCACATTGCACATTACAAAGTCCAAGAGTCAAGAAAATTAAAAGTATATGTAGATGGACAGCCCTGTAAGAACAAAGAAACTGTATTTATCAGTCATTTATCACATATTCTTGATACTTATCACATATCTAAACAACAGAATCCACTTAAATGGGTTTCAATTACTACAGAGATCTGAATGGACCACAGGAATTTTAGTTAGAAATATAATTTAATTCTCTTCAAAAATCTTAAATTCTCATTCTCAAACTGAATTATAGTGATATTTTAATGAAGCTCTGATTATTTGCTTTAATTTGCACATGAAAACGATTGCCTTCTCTGTAACTTTTCTCATTGTTACTTTGTTACTCTTGGTGTTACATCTCTCTTTGAATTAAATTAGCTATTTACATAGCTGGAAAGGAGAGCAATTTCTCATTTACATCTTGAATAACCTATTTGACTTGGTTAACTTCCCAATCAGATGATTTCACTGCAAAGGTATATATCACAGTCATTAAAATATTTTGCTGGCTTTTAGGTGAAACAAGCTCTCCATTCCATGACTGCAGGAGATGTAGTGA